GTGATGCTGGAATCCCCTGACAAAGATGGAAAGAATACAGAATCACTACCAAAAAGAATTGGTTGGCACAGAACCATTTCAGGAAGTAGCATATGATCAAGAACCAATATGCTGAACGAAAAAGCTCAAGGTTGGCCTTTATCATCATCTGTTTTCCTTACAGTATTGGAAGTCCCTGCCAAAGCAAAAAGGCAAGAAAAGGAACTAAAATCCAAATTGGCAATGAAAAAAAAAAAGACATATTTATAGATGATGTGATCCTATATATGTTGTTATATGCTGTTGAGTCACCTGCGAGTCATAGTGACCCTATATGTACAACAGCCCTAAATCCTGTCCTACGGGAAGGCAAATTTCATACTAAGTATTTGTAATAAACCCAATGCTATTTCAGGATGCAATTCACCCTGAGGCACCAAGGCAGTCCTTAAAGACTTACAGGATTCTCGCATTGTATTTGCTAACCTCTCCCTTCTGAGTCAAGCAGAAGGTTTTCAATAGAAAGAGCTTAGATTCATTTGCATTGAATTCTCTTTGTGATTTCTCCCTGACAATTTTCAGTAAAGACACAGGGCAGCTGGAATCCGATGCTTCAGTTGTTCTTGTTCTTTAACCCTTTTTATTTATACATTCTTGGTGTCCTGTCTCAATATTAATACTTATAAAAATATTTTACCCTCGGTCTGCAACACCTCCCTACCCTGTGCTAATCTCATTGTCTCTGACACACGTATCCCCTTTACCCATCACTGAATCAATCCATCTCATTGAGGGTCTTCCTCTCCTGTGCTGTCCCTTTACCCTCCCAAGCATTACGTCCCTCTCCAAGGACTGGTACCACTTTACAACATTTCCAAAGTATGTCAGACGAAGCCTCAGGATCTTGTCTCCAAGGAACAGGCTGGCTTCACCCTCTCTAGGACAAACCTGTTCATTCTCTTAGAAGTCCATGGTATATTCAGTACTGTTCTCCAGCACCACAGCTCAAAGGCATCAATGCTCTTTCTATCTTCCCTAGTCATTGTCCAGCTCTCTGATGCATAGCAAGTAATTGCAAAGACCATGGACTGTATCTGGCGCCCCCTAGTCTCCAGACTGACATCCTATATATAGAAAAACTTAAAAAATTAGCAAGAACACTACTAAACCTCATCAACCAATTCAGAAAAGTGGCAGGTTACAAGAACAACATTGAAAACAAATTGTTGGATTCCCCTACAATGACAAAACTCTGTAAAGGAAAGGATGTTTCCTTAAACAATGCCATTTGCAATCATTTTCACAATCTGTGGCTGTGGAGTTGGCAGTGACTAGCTGACTCTCCAGCCGACTTGAAGGAGGCTATGAATTGCAGGAGGAGAATGTGCATCTTCCTGCTGTATGGCCCCTGGCATATTTATACCAACTTTGCATTAGTGCAACTCCCTAAGGACTATGCCATCATCAGATCATCTTTCTGGATGGTTATTGATAATGGCCAAAAAGATGAAATATTTAGGAATCAATATAAAAAGAAATATAAAA